CACCCGGAGGTCTGACTCATAGAGATCACCACCCTTACGGACGTACCTCTCCCGAACCACCGCCACTAAAACAAGCGGACCGGACGACCCAGGATGCACCGCGCACCCCATCTGCCCTACGTTGCACGACACCGACTGCCATCAGACTGAAAAACCCGTCCCTTAACCTTATTGCACCTATGCCCCTGAACCCCTGTCACAGGAGATCTCAGTTCTAACCTGGGACTCCACCCCCAATTTCCCAAAAATCCTTGGCACACCCCTTTTCGCACTTCCAGGCCCACATCCCACTCCAATCAGGAAGTCGCGCTGGGCGTGAGGTTGGGTGTCACACGGCTTTGGATGATTGCGGTCAATTTTTTATGGTCAACGGCTTGGTTAATGGTGTGAGAAAGTAGAGAGTGTGAGGGTCGCGCAAATTTAAGGCTTGCGCGACATAATTTTACTTTGATTAAACTAGGATTAAGACATTTTTTCCGTTGGTTGGTACGTCCTTTTGAGGGCACACATTTTGACGCATGCGTTGGTTATTTAGACGTCCGGTGGTTCGTGAACCACCATTGTCTTTAGTAATCAACACAGTAACTGTTGTGAAAGCTAGAGAAATGCTGAAACTTGGATTAATGTGTGGGCCCACACTGTGTGCGTGTGCGCAAAGGCGGTATTGTCTTCGCCAACGTCGGATTGACCATCTGTACCGCGGTTAGAAGAGACTACCGTTGTTTTTATTAAAGTGATCATATTGGAGTGCGCATAGCATGGAGTGCGTGAGACGCCTTGGTTCCGATGCTTTGATTGTCAGTGGGAGCCACCAACGACCTCGACAAGGGTTGCGCAAACGAAATGCGGCACGGCGGAGGTCGGGGTTGCCCCCAACGAGACAGTAAAAGAGCGACCTTGGAGGAGTGACTAAAGGGAAAATTGCATTTGTACCCCACTTAAAGATGGGAATACCCGCTATACCCAGTCCCAACGCCAACTTGCATCTATACCCAGAAACGGCCCGTAGAAATTATGCGCATACCCAGGATGGAGGTTGACCAACTTGACCCAGGTTCGTACTGCACGATTGCGCTTATAACGAACTACTGGAAATGCAAAAATTATGGACATACCCAGGCCACATTACGGGCATATACCCAACTACTGGATGGAAATTGTGCTCATACCCAGCAGCCGGTGGAGCACAACGGTCCACTTGGTGGTCACCAGTTGGGGCACAACGGTACACTTAGTGTAGCGGACCCACCAGGTGTGGTTCTCCGCTAGTGACAAAGATGGAGATGGAGGAAGAAGGGGGAGCAAGATGGCACAACGCAGCTCCCCACGCAAGACTCCAACGCACGTACTCCAAAATATGCAAGTGAGGAATGAGACTGAAAACAGACAATGGTTGGGGTATACCCCAGCGGACTGACGGGACTAGACTGGACTGGCTGGTACCGACAGAGGTACCGGCCTGGACTGGCCTACCCCGAATATAACACAG